CCAATCTCGCCTGCAGATGAGAACGTAGTTCAACAGGTGCCAACATCGAGAGTGGCGGTTCAGCTGTGTTGCTTTCTCCACGTCGGAAAGTGAAAGAAGGTGTTGGTCTGAAGAAGGTGCTCGGCGCAGGTTTGCAGAAGAAGAAGGACGTTTTCGTTGTACCCACCGAGTCCATGGGGAGCCAAAATTCTCCTGCAGGCAGCGGACATGAAGTCCACCCTCGGCACAGCCGCCAGAACGGCATGCAGGTCTTCGTAGAACTAGTTACCCACCTCGTCTAAGCTGGTCATTGCGGAGACGAAGACACTGACGAGGGTGGCAAGTTTGGTATCAAAACATTACCTCCAAAGATGAAAAAAGTTCTTGACACTTCAGTGAAGACTATCAGCTGGATTAGTGGTCGCCCTCTGAACCATTTTTTGAATCATTTGGAAATGAATATTTGACTTTAGTTTTCCATCAGGCAATCCACTGGATGCCACGTAGGAATGCCTTACCGCGCCTTTTTGAACTGCGAGAAGAAGTCAAAGTATTTCTAAAGAAACGAGACTGTGATCTGGCTGGGGAAACGGAATTCCAAAAAGGCAGGAACAAAAGAGTCATCAAGCTCTTTGTTTATTATAACAGTTTGATTATAGAACATGGTTTTCGTTTTCTTTTAAGAATCGATTTAGGGGAGGGGATCGAGAACATTTTAAAAATTGCGTAGGGGTGCGGGACATTAAAGCGGTTTGGAACCCGTGTGTTAGACGGAGACAGGCGCCACATCAGCCGTTGCATTCAAGCTTATTATCCAATGGCCAAAATACATGGACAGACCACTGGTACATGGAAGGTGGGAGAGAAGGCAAGACTAATCCAAAAGAACCCTTTGCTATGATAAATCACTGTATTTCTCATTACCATAAATCGGACACACGGGAACATATCGTGAGGCACCGAAGTCACGCCTTGGGAAGATACCTGTCGATGCGATATAGTAGTTTTTCCCTGGAATGAGGTCCAGTTCGCAATAACACCTTTTTCGTATAATCTTTATCGCAGCTCTGACTCCTAGAGGACACCACCCTATGTGTGGCACGCGTTGTACGATGACTTCCAGTCACGTGAACCACTTTGTCCAACCGTATTTCCAGTAGCATTGCTCCAGACAGGCCAGAGGAATATAGAAATGAAATGTAAGAATAAAATAGAGTGAAGTCTACCCAACTCGGATTCACGACTTAAGTTCTCATCACAAACTGGCAAATTAAGTTTTGCACTATCTTGACGGGCTAACAGGAGTGCCCATTACGGGATCTCTTTCACGTGTATTCGGAAAGTCCGAATTCGAAGCCCTTAATTTATCATGTTAGGAACCAGATGGTGTATGACATTAGTAAAACAGCCAATTATCTACGTCGGCCACTGCAACCATGACCATCTCAAGTTCTCTTGACTTTAGTTGCCACTGGGGTGCGCTGGATGTGGAAAAGGGAATGAGATAAATACAACGAGGGTCTGCTTCCCCATAGACCATTTTCCTGCAAGTAACATCTGTCCCACCAACACCGTTACTGTCGCGGATACTGCTGAACTAGAATGCAAAATTCTCCTCTTGGCGCATTTTATAATCAACTGCACCCCCCCCCCCGCTTATCGGTTCCATCCATTTTTTGTCTTGTCGAGAAGAAACGACCACCAGAAATGAAGGACGCTTCGAGGATTGGACGTGCGCTTACCCATAAGCGTCCTCTGCCTGCCTGATATGCTTGCTTTTATCCCACCCTGACGCCCGTAAAGAATATAACAACATCCTGACAGCTGACTGGTGTGCGTTGTACCTAGCATGGAAGTTTTTTGAGGAAAAAGTTCATCGTACTTGCAGCTGCCCTCTCTGCAGCAAAAGCTGCAGTTCCTCCTCATCCCATGGGATGCTCTATTCGCCCGCTATTCCTCGCCACTCTCCCCTCTCTCTGCACGCGGTGGGTCGAGAGGAGGTGGAGAAGGGGGGGGGGGGGTCGCGGGTCAAATCACAGTAGTCTGCGCCACCAGCCGTTGTCCGGCAAAAATCAACAGCTGCTTGTGCGCGCCAAAGGCTGATAATAAAGGTGGAGACTAGGGCGTTTTAAAGAAGTCTCTTCTTCTAAAATTGCCGCAAAAAGTCGCAATTTCTGCACTCTGGTGACCATTTGTGCATGGATTCACATTTCATTTTTTTCCTCTCCTTGCTTCGTCGAGTAACATTTCTCAAATCGGCACCAGTCGGCATTTCGGTCAAACAGGAAGTTATTCGGTAGGATCTCTGTCATTAACGCGAGCACGGAGCGGGTTTGCGAGCACGTTTGACACGCTGTAAGTTTCCAAACCCTAGGCTTTCTGACAAAAGAAGATTGAACTTAAAGTTTGAATAAAAGTATTGATGCGCTAGTCATTTTTGATAAGGCAGTTTCAGGGTTGTAATGGAGGGCAAAATTATGCATGAAGGGCAAAGGCGCGAAAGATCACCCGCGCTAGGTAGTGAGAACAGCAGGTTGAAAATCGATCGAAAAAGAAATCCCGTGAGCCTTAGCTCAGATGATGTCGTAATCCTGACGGTTGCTTGTGACGGGATTCAAGAAGACTTGTTAGCTGTCCCCAGACGAAGCTTCAGGTTCAGTGTGGGTGAGAATGGTGAATCATCAGATGGGCTTCAGAGGACGGGAATGAGGGACCTAAACGAATGGTTGGAAGCGAAGTATTTCTCTGGAATTCCCCGTTTGCATTTGGCAGGAACTTGAAAACTAGAGGAATATATCTAGAGCAAGCTTATACACTGGACCTGTGCATGAATTCTGCCTCAAGCAGCGTTGGGAATCCAGCCATGGCCTCCGTGGCATCTGACCTCCCAAGTCCAGTTCGTGGGTATCCACCAGGAAGAGAGGAAAGTTTGTTTTTCAATTTTTTGAAATTCTGACTTGCCCGACTTTTTGAAGGTGGCATATGCCCGAGTTCAGGATACACTGAACTGCGTTCAAAATTCCTCATATTATATGTTACGAAACTCTTTGGATTTTGTGGGGTGACGTAGCTGATGAAAAAAAGGTTGCAATCGGAACAAATGAACGATTTCTGGGTAAGATTTGGTTTGGTAGCCCCACCTGATGGATACAAAACTGTTGGGGTTGGGGTTAGGGTTAGGATTTAGGGTTAATGGCTATGACTAAGAGTTAGGCCTAGGAGTTAGGGCTAGAGGTGAGGGTTAGGGGTTAGGGTTAGGGTTAGGGGTTAACGCAATTATTTCTCACTCATCCAAAGTACAACCGCTCATTCGTAATAGATTTTCTTTTGCATACAACTACTTGCCCTCGTCGCCTGTGCGTCCCCGGCCCCACATGTAAAAACCCCTATTACCATCAACCCCCATTAGAGGTAATTGTGGTTTGCTTACTTCAGGTGGGGCTACCAAACCACATCCGACAAATTTCTGGACCTCTCATCCTTGCCTCTTTGTGGGTTTGGACAACATCGCTCACACTGTGAGTTTAAATATTCAGGTTGTTCAAGAAACTTATTAGTGTTCGCATGAACTCCTCGAATTATGATCTGGTTTCTTATGTTTGCACAACCATGGAAGATGATGCAAGAGTTTTAAAGGCCCATAGCGTAACGTATCGTACAAATGTCGGTCAGAAAGAATAATACCCACCCACAGCACTAACTCCGGTTCTGACTAAATTGTTACGAAGAGTGGTTATAACTGTTTCCTACTCATCTGGCGTCCACAGCAACTTCTTTGTGTATTTATAGATCCGTCAATGAAAAGGTATATCTCAATTATAAATAATTTTACAGATCTTTGCAACCATTAAATTGAAAGACATTCAAAGCACTCCTCACACTTGATACACTTTATGTGTGGCAGTGACGCTATACTAAATCTTCCAGTCGATCATTTCCCAATCGTACCCCTTCAAGTCGAATAATATTTGGGCCGGATCATATTTCGCAGCCGTACCTGCAGCAGGCAAGCCGCAGCCTAACCCTTAACCCTACCCCTAACCCCAACCCCTAACTCCAAACCCCAATCCCTAACAGTAACACCTAACAGGTACGGCTACGAAAGAATACCTTGCCAATATTTGCTGAATTCTCAATGAATGAAGAAATCAGCCTATGTTTTACGAATATCATAGAGGAGACGGACTTCTTTGCGATCGAACACATCTGTATTTAGACGACAGTGGAACCGGAAACGGTGAAAGGTTATATTAACCGCATATAGCAAGTTATATATTTCGGGTTATTTAAAATGTGCAGACGTCTGCAGGATGCACTCTCTAATAAATACGGAAATTATATCTGCACGAAAACAGAGGGTACCCAACGTCAGACTAGTTGGTTTCAAAAGCATCTGTTTAATATATTTAGATAGGGAATAGCGTCTATGAGTATGATATGAGGCATCGTTTTTATTATACTTGAAGAACATGGCTCCGACTCCAATCAACAAGGTTTAGTCTACCCTGTCATGTTGTATAAAAGCAACCAATCGATGACTGCCTAGGATTTTGGGTTATGGATGTTTTAGGGTTTGGTTTTACTAAACAACGGCTGAGAAAATTCGATACTTTCAGAATGTCTCATTATGGAATTCGACCATATGGGTGACAAGCACGCTGAAAAGAACAAGTCCGTTGAACGACTTTTAAAATTATGCGTTGGTTTGTTTGCGCAGTCAATTCCATATATGTCTGGCTATGATATCACTGGCTCGAACGATCACCCACACTATCTCAAAGGCAAAACTGTGGTTCTGTCGTTGTACGTGGCCATAAACCACGGATAACTTATCTTTGCGGTTCATTGCTAGTTAGTGTTCATGCAACCTTGTGCCAGGGCGTTTGCTTGTTCCACCAAGTGGTACACTTGAGCCAACCAAATACCCGCATCCCGCCTACCAGGCGTTACGTGAAAGGCTGATATTGGTTCGGACAACGTCAATTGGGCGATCAGACAAAGTCACGCGCGGTTGACAGCTGATGCCGCGGAAGAGAGGAGCAGGTCGGAGGTCTCGTGGCCAGCATGGAATACTGCCTCACCGACGTGCCCTCGAGGCAGAAATCGGCTCACACGAGCCGCAGCGGCTGATCAGTCCGGTGACCGGCGGGGCAGGCCAAAAGGCACGCTGGCTTGGCAACAACCTCCACGTCCGCAAAGGAAACTGGTCAGGTGAGCCCATCAGCGGTCAAAGTTCACGGTTATAATACGAGACAGGCGGCAAGGCTGAATAACTCCGGACCAACAAGAACGACCACCAGACCATCCGGATGATGCAGACGAGAGTGTTTCTGGAACACCTGTTCGACTATACTTCGGCCTACGAATTCGTCTCCTCTTCTTGATTGTCTGCGTCGCGAGATGATAGAATTGGAATCTTCAGCATATTGCCTCATACATATATATGTCTAGTTGCAGGGTTTCAGGCAGGACCATCAATGAACCTATTCAATTGGAGTTAATTTGCACATTTACTGTCAATAAAAAATTTTAAAAGTTTACAACTGTGCTCGAGTCAGAATACAACACAAGCAAAAACTATTGTTTCTTAAAAGAAGACGGAGGCACGATCACTGGGACGGCAGATTTATTGGCCTTAGCTTTTGAACCCGAACCGGAGTTCATCAGAGACTGCTAGAGTGCAACAACGTGTGAACATTTATATCGTTGTTCCGTGCGAGGGGGAATACGTCCGTGGCTAGGCCTGGTTTGTTTCTCTTCAGTGCGAATCAGTGCGGAAGGAGAGTAGATTATGAAGTGTTTTACAAGAGTGGCTGTAGGTCATCACGCTGTGAAAGAAGATTTTGGTGAAGAATCTGCAATTAAGTCTACTTTTAAAATCTAAGTGCTGAATTTATAAAGGCCCTGAATGTTTATGGGAGAAACTAATATTACTGAAGTATTTATTTTTTCCGAGTGTGCTTTTGCATGCCGGCGTAACTGTGTGACTGAAAGATTACGAAATGTACTGCATGGTAATCAATATCGCAATCTTTCCTGCTGTAGGCGGTCCAGACCGAAAGTACTGGGCGGACCGCAATCCTGGCGTTTGGACAAAGTAACTCGAGAGTAAAAAAGTCGATTAAAAGAACATAGTGACCGTGTTAAAAATGCCAGAAATTATGCCCGCTCGATCTAGCCTCGGTCCGGTGTGACAGTTAATTAACTTTAACTCGGTCACTTGTTAGTTTGAACTTCGCAAGTGAGGAGGTTCAACCCTACCCCGACCGAGCGGTAGTGGAATTTTTTGCAGTGAAGAGGACCTAAGAGGCATCCACCAAACCCTCTATTCCCTTGCCTATCCCATCTGAAGCACAAAAAACCAACACCACTGGAGATGGGCGTCCATGCGTTGGTTAATGAATCTGAAGCCAACTTCCACAAGCAGCACACACATTCTGGCCCCTTATTCAACCTTGACTGGTCCTTAAAGAAGGAATCTCTGAACTCTTATCGAATAAGATTGTTCTAAAATACCGCGTAGGGTGGCAACTAGTAGAGTCAGGCACTTGTTCTAAACGAAGATCATGTTTATCCCGACAACCGCCAACCTTCAAGACCACGATTGTACGATCGTTGTGGAATCCAAAATGCGTTCTCTTAGTGAAGAAACTAGGCTCTGGATCCGAGTGAGAACTATCTTATTTTGTCTCCTTCACCTAGGCCATGTGTCATTAGTTTGGTCGAGACAAATCAACTGTACATGAGAAAGCGTTTGAACTTGAAAGATACCCTTATTTCTTGTATACAATTCGAATAAGACAAAATTTACTACCAAATAAGTACATGGTTTTCGTATTTGTATGTATGTCTGAAGGGATACAGCCAGAGACCTTAATGACCTTATTCAGCACAGTATCACATTTTAAACATCAGGATTTGTGTTCGAGTCAAAACACAACACAATTAGGGCGATTGTTACAGTTAAATTCGAATCAGTATGGAAGGAGACTAGAGAGCGAAAAGTTACAACATTGGCTCAAAGTAACGTTTAAAGAGCCGTTCTGTACATACACTTGCTGTACGTATCATCCACGAATTAATGTTATTTTAAGTATGGCACGCAGTTACATGCGTAAGATCTGACGATGTGTTTCGAGGATTTTTTGTGAGAATTAGGCAGAGTTTTTCTATTTTTGTATAGTTCGAGGTGCTAGGAATAGAAGCAAAGAGTATCTCTCTTGATTTCTCTAATAGAGAAACCACAGGAGTAATGGTTTCTAAAAAAATCACATACTGAGAGACAGGTGGGTGACTGGAAAATTCGAACAAACCTATTAGACGCAGTAACAGGCATACAATTTTCTGTGTATCAAAAGAAATGTCTGCGGTTATTAAGCGACACTGGAGTCCACTGAGTTACAGGGCGTCCTTGAAATGTCAGTGAGTATTCTGCAGTTTTTCAGTATTCTTAGTCCACTCCCCGCAGTTTGTGCCAATCCAAACTTTCATAACGAGATATTTCTTGAAAAAAATTACTGTTTTCATGAAAATGGGCGTTTTGGACATATTTGTGGACTCGTCAAGCATGAGAGATCATGCCAAAATACAATGTACATTCACAGAGAATGTCTAATAATTGTGTGCTCTCAATCAGTCAAAAACGTCTTCTGAAAATTACCTTTTAAAAAGGGCTTTAACAGGGTACTTTGTTGACGAATGTGCATATGCGTCATCTCATTCCAAGGCAAAGTTGCGGAAGAAAATTGTAAAGTTTGGCCCGTCTTTTACTTCCCTGAAAATTTCTGCCAGACCCATTTCTCAATTTAGTACTGATAGAAAATATGCGATATAAATATTGTCTTACCATATACACAAGTGGTAAATGTCCGCTAAGTGGTGGGCCTTTTCCTGGTTTCTTAGGGAGTATTCGCAAGGACCAGAAAAATATTGGGTACAATGAAACCACGGACTGCCTGTGAGCGTTACCACGGTTTTTTGGAGAAAAAATCGTACCGTTTTACAAATCTGACTTTTTTAAATCGAAAAGCGTCCGTCTTTCTGAAATCAACGGGTTCCTTTGCATCCCAACTCATCCGACTTATTCGGACAAAACAATTAGGCAAGCGGACGACATTTAGTTTGCAAAAGTTTCCATTTTATGTTGCTGCCGTCAAGTAATTAAACACGCACTGGCTCATAAACGTGGTCTAGGAAAATTGCCCGCGCATACGGTAACGTTGATTTTCGCCCATATTTTTGGACGTTTTCCCTGATGAAATTTTTCATAAGCATGTTCCAAAGGTCAAAAGTATATTTTCTAAACGAATTGGGCGAATATATAAAATGTACAGCCCTTTAGACGCCTAATATGATCGACTTGATTTTTGTCATTACGTTTCATATGTTACGTCATATATTGTACATAGAGATCTATAGGGATAGAGGGGCGTTCACTGATTGTTCTTACGGAACTCCCTCGTTCCGTTGTGCCTTACGGGCTCTCTTTCGAGCCCAAACTGCAGTCGCACAGCGGCACATGCTTGACTGTCTGACGACGGCTAATAAGTCAGAAATAGCCATTCCAGTATCCCTTGTCTTTTTCGGTGATAACATTCTGCCTATACCATGTGCCGTTGTGCGGCTGTCGGTTGGGCTCGAGGTAGAGCCCGTAAGGCACAACGGAACGAGTAAGTTCCGTAAGAACGATTAGTGACCGCCCCTCCACCACTGTATATTCCCGATCGAAAACCGACAGGACAACGAGCCCGTGGCTCAGTGGTTAGAGGCGTCTGACTTCTAACTAACAGGTCGCGAGTTCGAACTCCAGGTATCCCACACCTCGGGGTTTGTTATGACTGACTAACGACGGCTAATAAGCCAGAAATGGTCATTCCAGTCTCCCTTGTCTTCGTCTCTAATAACGTTCTGCCTATATAGATCTATGCATTCGCTTACTCCAATAGGACAAAAGCGTATGTTTAAACGTTCCCGTTTCCGGACGTAAGTCAGAAATATTGCATTCACTGAACGTTCATTGTCCTGGTGTTCCGCAAGCTCAGAAGTAACCAACAATCGAAAGAAGCGCACAGCTTTGCATCGTCCACGATCGTGTTCGATGATTGTTGATCAAAGGTTAAACACGCGACTGTGCGCTAAAGTGACAGTGGAAGCTTGGTCGCCTTCGAAGCGTCAGAGCACTAAAAGTTCGGTTCTTGATATCTTCTCTTCTTCTTCTTCCTGCTTTCGCCAAATGCTGCGGACATTTCTGCCACTGAGTAGCTGACAGAATTGAATTTTGTGTCTTTTACCGTGACCGCATAAGAACATCTTCAATGTAGTTCAACAATAACTGGCAGAAACCTTGAATCCTGTAAAATGGGGGAGCCGCCGTGTGTCAGCCCGATCTGGAACAGGTATTAGCTGAAACTCAGACACCTGTTTTCGCCGCTGCATGACGCAACTGCGAGTAGTTCGGCTCATCAGGGGGTCCCCAACGTCCCTCGTGCACTTTCTGATGGGTACTCCGGTTTCGACATTTTAGCTTTTTAATCTACTTAGATAGTAATGAGGGATGAGGCTGACGGATTTTGGCTCAGATATCCATATCAACGTTCGCATCTGTAGTAGATATAATTTTACATGATTCTCGGTCTTTGTGACTGATTTTCATTATTTGATGTCATGAACACCTGCTTTCCACCCCAAGTTTAATGTTGCTTACTTTTCTTTGATTCGGCAACTTTGGAAACGGAAGACAGAATTTTTTGCCACACTTAATCTAGGCAAATGAATATAGTCGAAGAAGTCAACTTACTAACTAACGTTGTGAAACTCCTGTACCCTTGTAAGTAAGGCTAGAATTGCTAATGTACTGAAGCATCCCAGCAAAATAAAATAACCATCAATTTTGAATAACTTGATAATAGAGATGTTTTTTGATGGAGATTCACTTGTGGTATATGCTTCGTATTCAAGAACTTAAATGACCCACGAACAGGCAGTTTGCATATTTTTAGTATAAGTCATCTGTCATTTTTTTAGAAATCTAAGCCTGGCCATAGAGTTGAAATATGAATTTTCAGCCATTGTCGTTTCTTTCTTTTGGGAGGACTAAGGAGTTCTCATTTTATGGTGTAAAAATTCCTCCACTAATCTTTTTTGGCATTGGAACTTGGAGAAACCAAAGCGCCGGAACTTCAACGAGTTTAATTTTGTTTGCCATGAGCCAGAAGTCCGCAAACCTAAACAGTGGTTGCGTAGCGGTCGCAGTTATGTCCTACGCATTAAGCCCTTCTTAAGGGTATACTTATTTGTTTTTATTTTGGATTCTATTCGTTTTTTATTCGATAATTTTATTTACCGAGATAAGGAGCATATGTTGGCATCTTAGACCACTGGAAAACAGGGGCCCACCCTTGAACGTGAGGTTTTTAACATACTTTCATGGTGTGGAGTCCATCGTTAGTCCAGTTTGGGGCAGAAATGTCGCAATGATTTAAGGACTCCCAATCAAATATTCTTCTGTCTCATAGTGTTCACAGGAAATTGCCTGTCTGGTAGGCAAGCCCGCCTTTGGTCGGTAGATTTAATGCGTATTTCGGTCGTTGGCGGAACTCATCCGCACCCGGATAAACAATCACCAGCACAAGAAAACAAAGTCAAGGGTTAACGTGTCAGCAAGATGAACGTCGAATGCCCTGCCTATGGACTGATTTCATGCCCTCCACTATCGTCGCCCTGGGGATCTAGCAGGTGTGGGTTATTTTTCCGGGGTCTATCCAGCCAGTAACCAACAGCTTCCAGTTAGGGCCCCGTAGCACATGCGGTTAGAGCTTCGGCTGTACTCGAGTCACGTCCTTGTTCTCTTGGGTTCGAATCCCATCGAGACTGTCAAGTTTTTCACAATGCTGTCAAAATGAATCATCTAAAACTACGATTCGGCACAAACAGTGCACTTTTTTGGCCATTAGAGTCATCGTCGAACTTGTGTACCACGATGAAATTTCTAAGCCAAAAAGTGGACTCGGGACCCCAGTCTTCATTTCCTGGCCTAATTTCATTATTTATGGTCTGATTCAAGAGGTTTCTCTTACGTTCTAGGCCTGGAGAACCGGTGAACTCTTCTTGTTGACCGACCTTTATGGGCAAGGATTGCGTGTTGACCTTCTAGAGCTCATCTAATATGCCTCAGCGAAGTTGAGAGCACAAAAACGCTCGTGCGGAAGACAGACAGTAAATTGAAAACCTTGCGTTTTGTGTCCTGCTTATCGAATTGCTAAGTCCCTGCTAGTCTAGATTTTGTGCAAAAGCCTTCTGGAAGGCCTTTTGCCTTCACATTTGCGAACGGTCTTCAAAAGACGGAGAAAGTGAAAAAGGAGAAGAAGAGGAAAAAAAGAAAATGAAGAATATGCTGCCGTTGCTGCTGCTTATGATGATGATGATGGTGGTGGTGATGATGATGATGATGATGATGATGATGATGATGATGATGATGATGATGATGATGATGATGATGATGATGATGATGATGATGATGATGATGATGATGATGATGATGATGATGATGATGATGATGATGATGATGATGATGATCATGATCATGATCATGATCATGATGTGTGGGTAAATAGCCATTCAATGGAATACCCGCTGCAGAAGATTGTGTTTAAGGGGGTAATAGGTGATACGTTCTGGCGTTTAAAGTCATTTTGGAATATGCTCACAGCGCCTACCTGATAGTTGCCTATGTGTGTGGTTGTCCAATAAATTTGCATCCGTAAGATCAACTTAATTTGAATTTGTGCACACATGCAGCACACTCCTAGTAGTTCCAGTGGGCATAATTTTCGTGTCCCACATGAAGTTTGGTGTACGTTTGGTTGTTTTGCAGGTACAACGTGGCCTTTCTTTGATGGCCCCTTGAGTGTCCCTTGAGCGGACCCTATAGAAACTGACTATTCTGTCAATTTGTCCCCAAAGAAGTGAGTTGCATCTGCGGAGTAATTTTCATGAGGTTCGTTCTGATAAGCACAATTTCGGCATATGATTCGTCATGAGTAGGCAGCGTTACTTCCTGGTGTGTTGGCACGACGTTCTTTATTCCGGCGACTGTCCTCTTATAGTATTACTCACAGGGTTTAGAGTCAATACAGTCACTATCCTCTGCGTAGTTTATTATTACTTTCCGCCTCCACTTGGTTTTATCTACTCCTTTTTGTGAGCAGATCGATGTATTCCTTCTTCTTAATGACTGCAGACACATGGTTGTTGTCTCTTCTAGAAAGTGTTATCTGCTTTAGTTTTTATGGCAGCCCATGTCATTGATAAGTAATTGATCTATCGACGAAAACTGCGTCCCAGTGGACTGTCCATGAACATCCTCTCAAAAAGAAATACACATTTTGTGCTCAAAATAAAGAGACGGAAAATATCACTTGTAAAGCGAATCCAAAACTCTTTACATCGGTAAATTGTTCGCTTCTCGGAATAAATGTGCTCCTAGAATTTTTAGTCATGCCCACATTTTGAACATCCATGGGTAATTACCGCTGGGCAGAGGGAAATGCACAATCAAAGCCCGCAAGCAACTTCAGACATGCTGAAATTACGCTCTTTTGTCGTAAAGAACATCACACTGATCACGTGGATTTTGCGCTCAATCCCTTTCAACTTTTCCACACAGTTTCCGCATAAAAATGACGTCTAAAATGTTTCGGAAATGAAAGCCGAGACTGAATTGCATAAAACAGCTAGGACGAAAATTCATGCTCTTTTAATTATTCTTGGCAGGTGCTTATTAACCAAATTTTGTCAAAAACACTTTTCCCACGCAAACCTAACCACCCTAGAGGCTAGGCGACCTTTGAGACAGCAACCGCGCGCATAATCACCACGGACGTGGCAGCATTCTCGACTGATTGAGTGATTGTTCATCACCTCATGACTGCCTGCGGAGGACCAGGATCGGGAGATCGCAGTCCTGCAATCAGGCGAAACTAATGAAAACCAGTTTTACGTGTCCTCGAAGAACATAACAAACAGGAAGTGCAACCATGGATCAAGGAGCAGAAAATCTGCTTCAAAGGCTTGCTGTCCCTAACCGGCTGGAGTTCACGTTTCATGACGGTTTGTCTGAAGATAGGCAGTGAAAGGGGTTATATGATACGTGCATTTTTAACTTCAGTAGTGTTATTGACGTTGAAGTTGCCCGTATCGGGCTTAAGGTTAGGTCTGTGGTTAGGGTTCGTGTAAGATGTTGGATTATCTGAGGAAAATGAAGTGCTCACCGGATCGAGGGATTTGTTCGGCTGACGTTTCGAAGAGCTGGGGCGGCTCGCCATTGTCAAAGCGTCTAGTGAAAAAATCCATCAGAATTTTTGAGCACTTCATTTTTCTCAGATTGTCGACCCGGATCTCTTACTTTGGCTAACCTGAGGTTGGATTATTCTTACGGCCATGTTTTCCAAGCCTGGGTTATAGTTTGGATTTGGAGTTGAGACTAGGGTTGGCCATTTTGGTTTAGGGTTTTAGCGTTGGAGTTAGGATTCTAAGGCTTGGGTTAAGGCTACGGTTAAGTTCGGGTTTTCTCTAAAAGCTTACGGGCTAAGGGTTAAGGTTATCAATCGCAGGCATAGCTATGGTTGGCGTTAGGGTCGTAGCCATCTAAATTTTTCTCAGGAGGTTACATACCACACCCTTGCCAAAATTAATTCATGAATACCCTTTTTTGTTCGATATTCCATCAGTCTTCCCGCTGCAGTTTCGAAATCTATTGTACGCACTCTGACAGACTTGAAGTGTGTGTGTATGCTTGGTTTGTAGGCATGGTTAAAGGCTCGACATGGGTCCGACAACTTATTCCCACACATTGTATGGGCATTCTCTCTACTTCTTGGACTACCTTAACGTGCAGCTGAAGTACTGTCATTGTGAGCTGGCATGAAATATCCAAAAAGGAGGATAAAAATACAAGCAGCTGTCTGTAACACGTCGTACCTGGACGCCTGAGACACCGGATGGGTGTCCGCCAGAATCGAGGATAACGCCTACACACATGCCCCAGTGGCCCAGCAGTACACCTCTGCCATAACGGCTTGAAGCATTGACTTTATATGTCACTGACGGAGTTGTTGTGTAGACAAAAGATGAGGGAAAATCGACAGCTGCTGTCTCGCCCCGGCCTGATGACCATAACAGCTGTTGGCCATAGTCTACCAGATAGAGTGGGTTCGCCGCCAAAACAGAAGTCACTCAGCAATCATGCACATAAGTAAACGAAGGGAATGAGAGAAGAGGTAATAGCAGGCTGTTGGGAGAGGGGACATACTTCAATGGCAATTTAACTGTGGTCTGTGAATGTGAGAAGATGATGATTATGAGGAGGAGAAAAAGTAGTTGCAGTAACAGAAGTGGTAGGCGGAGGGGGAGGAAGAACAGGAGGGGGAACGATCTGAGCAAGAGACGGGGAAGATGCAGATGTTGTCGTCGCTGTTGTTGCTGTTTGTGGTGGTGGTGGTGGTGGTGGTGGTGGTGGTGGTGGTGGTGGTGGTGGTGGTGGTGGTGGTGGTGGTGGTGGTGGTCAACCCCCAAGATAGATAGCACTGCTTTAGACACTGTCCGTTCAGACCATTGCGGATGTGGGGAGGTCGATAGTGGTGGCCCGGGGGTAGCGAAAGCAATTAGTTCCTGTTCGTCTAAATACGCTGACTCTGGCTTGTCAACACTTTTGATAGAAAGCATACACGTGAGGCCTTTGTTCCAGTTAGAAGCCACAAACACCGCCTTGACTTTTGAACACTCGCCTTAAAACAGCTGGTATTTGATCCGCTAAAATGCCGTCCGATGAATAAATAAAAACGTGCATATATCAGGGATCACCGAACCTGGCACATTTGGAGAAACGTAAGTCCGTTTATTTGGTTTTCAGGAAGAAAGCTACAATTAAAGTAGCGCCAGCAGCTTCATCGTCGTAACGAAATATAGGAAAGCGTAGTGGTGTCTGGAGGGTGCCCGAGAGCTTTTCCAGTCACTTATCTAAAACTGGTCGGTCGAAGCCTGCAGCGAAATTTACCTACACTGCAGCCATTATTGGGGTGCTTCAAATAGTTAGATCTATCCTTATTCATTGAATAACGTGAATTACGTGAGCCTGGTAGTCATCTGGTGGATTCTGGGTGAATTACTTAGGAAATCCCGCTTGGGCAGTCAACTTACTGTATCAGATTTGGTGGATTCCAGATGTTGCAGTAGGTTGGGCGGGTAACTTGACCTAAGTGTGATAAAACTCGCGTCGCCCGGCGGGGCCTCGTAGCTCAAGTGGTTAGAGCGCTGGCTGTACAAGAGCCTTCCCCTTACTGCTTGGGTTCGAATCCTACCGATGCGCCGATTTTTTCACAGTTGGGTCAATGTGAATCATTCAAAGTCTGCCAAAACATCTATTAAAAATGTGTTTGTTGATAATGCCTTAAGCCTTCTATCTCTTTGGTGAATACGTGGTACATTTACCTTGTTGTAATGTCATGTGGGCTGGATATTAGAGCATTCGGTACATATTTTAACCCTTCGGATTGTAAAGCCTCCATGCTTCCTCCCTCTTTCACAACCACTTGGAAAATATTTTGCGTCTGTCGTTGGGGTTGGTCAGCTTCATTTAGAAAATCGGCCCTGTTTGATCACACTTAGTCAGTGAGACCACGACAAAATACTTGCCATGGACTTTATGTCATACAGTATTTCTCGAGAAAATTGAATTTCTTCATTCGTTATTAATTTGCATCTCAGTTGTTTGGGTTTGAAGCCCTAATTTAGGCTGGAATTACCATTTTGGGGTCAGATGCTGGTGTCAGGCAGCGGTATAGGTAGTATCCACAGCTTCGATCCGGTTTCCTTAGTTACTGAACCTCATGTATAACGTGCTTTAGCATATCCAACCAGGCTGCTATTAGGAAGGCAATTCGCTGAGTTATCTCCGGCTGCAGGTAACTCCTTTCCGCCAATTCTCTGCTCTAAGGCCCTCGTAGGCGGCCACCCAGTACAAAGCTGACGTCGGGAAATGACTTGTTAAATGTCCAATCCAGTCTCCACCGTCCTGTTCAGTAACATATCGCGAATACTGGTTTTTCGTGACATTCGGACATGTCTGACACCTGAGTTGTCCAAGTCCTGATCCATTCCGGCCTGGCTGACTGACTGACGGCAACTGGCGGGCCAGAAACGATGATTCCAGCTTCACTACGGCAGCACGTGGGGACACACAGGACGGTCAGTGCTTCAGCCAATCTCCAAATCGAATTGCTTCAAGCTAGTGAGGAGAAGTGCAAGTGACTCTCATGTGTCCTCTCGGCCAGATTTCGTCCTGCAGCCCCATTTGCTTGGTACGATACGGTTAGCTTGCTAAAACAATTTTAGTTAACCCACCTAAGTTGGCCACTCGTTGGATTAGGAAGGGGAAGATAGAGCAAGCAGATCTCGAAGCGCGCACACAGCGAAGCGCGTGTACACCGATGTTTGGTGTGACCGAAGGTGGCGTGCATTCACTTTCCCCGCGGCACAGCCACTCTCTGGATTGGGAGAGCGCAATCACAACTGGAAGGCCACAGAGGGAACCGCGTGTTAATTTGCAGCGCATGATCATTATAGTGGCATGGGCGAACCGCCACACAGTCCGAGCAATGACATTGGCAAGTCCACTTAGCCGCCCGTCGGATTGAGATAACGATGAGGACGCAAGCAGAGCTCGAAACACGCTTAGGGAAGTGCGTGTTAACTGATACCTGATGTTATTGAAGCACTCCCTCCGAGACGCAGTTACTCGCTGGATTAAAATAAAGTAGGTGAGCTAACTAATGAAATGTCAACCGAAATGCGTTTTCGTTCCGAAAAGTGGGGTTGTAAAACTAAACATCATGCAGAATAATTCTATAATAATTCAGTTACCTCAGGATGCCGGCTTTCAAACGAACTTCTTTCCGGCTGTATGCAAAAACCATACTCTGTAAAAATGGCTACTCAATCAGCATGCATTTTTCTCATTGACTTTCGATGCCCTTAAGAATTCAATTATATTTTGTGGAAAACATGCAAAAAGGATTCGTCCGTTTACTCATTCGGTAGCAAAATTACGTGTTCTTCCAATTTTATACTGGAAGGGAGGGTATAATTCGGTTCTAAAAAGTTTCTAACTGGGAGATTTTTTAATATCGTGAAATGGCCATTCATAAAACGCCATGTCTCTGCATTTAACAGTGTGGCTTATAAAGTTAACAATAGGGCTCAAATCCACTGCTAAATTTTGTGAACCCCATTTGGTCTCCTCTTCTTACCGTAGAGAAATATAGGTTTTTCCGTACGTGGAATATATACCGCTTGTAGTTTGGGAACCGTGGATGTAAGTGTAACGGCCGTTTGAATTCAACATTATTCGGAGATAGGAAAAGTTTTTGAAAACCTAATTACACCCTTCCTTCGAGGATAAGATTGGAAGAAGGCGTATTTTCCAACCGAACTGTTAAAATGATGAATAGTCTTATGCATTTTTTCCATAAAATATAATTTAAGTTTCAAGGGCATCGAAAATCAATGGGAAAGACTCATGCTACCTAAGTAGCCACTTTTTGCAGAGTTTACTTTTTCCAGGCGGCCGGAAAGAAGTTCGTTCGAAAGCCGGCATCCTGAGGTAACTAAATTATTATAGAATTACGCTGCACGATGATTTATTTTAAAGCCCTACTTAAATAGTCTCCTCGAAACGAAAACTCATTTCGAGATTTCGGTTGCCAATTCATGAGGTAGCCCACCTACTGTAGTAGGGGAGGCGCAAACACGTGATATATGTAAAGTCGACGTAATCAGTGCTACTTAAATTTTTTTGGCTAACTAACCGTATGGTATCAATCAAGTGGGGCTGCAGGACCAAACCCCGCCGTTATCTCGTCTGTGCATGCCCTGGGGTCTCTATATCCTTGCTATTTTACACTATCCTTAAGTAGTTCAACTCGGCCCGGCAGACTACCCGCGGGCATCCGCAGCATTTAACCGAAGCAATAAAGGATACGAGGACTGGTCGCCTACCCGACAGATTGGAACGCGCTCCGCTGTTGTTACTGTGGTTAATCCAATTTTCCTTTCGCGTACAGCAGAGTCCTACTAAAAAGTGAACGCCTCTTCAGCCCAGGTTCGGATGAAATTAACACAAGTGGTCCGAACTTCGGCGCCCTATAATCTCATCAGAAACTATCGAACGAGTGTGCCGCACAGTCCTGGCGACTGGAGGCGTTTGGATCCGGCCAGCACCTCTATTCGAAACACTTCGGTGCCACCAGACCAAGATGGTCTACTTGTACAAAGAGGGCTGGTTCAGATATCTTTGATTACAGGGCGTTAGCAATAGGCGAAGCATTCCCTGGTCAGAGAAACCAAGAACGGAGGAAACAGGTAATCGGAGAGGCTCCGTTTCGCAACTTTTCCCACTGTGCCAACGGTTACCCAGAGTCAATATATTCTGACAGCTGGAACTACTTTCAGGGCGATTTCGTCTAAAACACCCTTCAGCTACTACTATGCAGATTACCTGGTGCAACTTTCGACGTCCTTCTGAGGTGAGGTTTCAGAAATAATTGCAAAATCACCGTCTTTCCTAACTGAAGGATATCGTATACGAGGACTTATTTAAAGTAAATCCCTCGGTCAGCCGGCTCTCGACTTTTATTTAAAGTTCTCTACGCTTCGTTATCTGTCTGGCTTACCGGGGGGGAGTATGCACATTTCCGTAGGGGCTACAGGTGTTGTGCCAACCTACCCTTCCACAACTCCGTTTTAGTTTGCTCGGTCGACAGCAAGGCTCCAACATGTGTTATGTCAGCCAATTTGCGCTCAAAGTCACCAGACGCGAGCAGCTGTTTCGCCCCGGCGGGAAATCGTCAGTATGCCTGGACCTTTCCTGATATTCGCCTGGCTTCCCAATTACGCCGAATCGTCGCTTGCCTCCGAATTCCCTAGCCACTGTCTACTGGCCATGAAGCATCAGAACCTCGCCAATGCATTATCTTCTTGATACTAGCGTCAAGCCGACCGCAGCGGGATCTTGGGCTTCGTCAGGTTAAATTACCCAATACTTCAGATTGGTTGATGACCGTGAACATGATAGATTGTGACACTGTAGAGATGAGTGGAACTGCAGTTCGTCTGTCAGGCAGTGCAAGTCACATTTCCCTGTTAGAACTAAGTGTTCGATCGCACTGCCGCATTACCCTTCAAAATATCTAGTCAGGCCTTACGGACTTTGACGCAAACTTGTGCCGTGCATCGACACTTACGAGTGCTGTACGCAAAAGGAAACCACAAGAGCATGTAAAGTAGATGGACTAACTCATGAAATGTCAACCGAAATTCCTAAATGTGCTTTCTTTTCGGAAGGATTAGTTAAGTAGGGTTTTAAAATCAATCATCGCGTCGAGATGCCGGCTTTCGAACGATATTCTCTTCGGCCGCCTAGAAAAACGACACTCTGTAAAAAAATGACTACTAAAGTAGCATGCATTTTTCTCATTGACTTTCGATGTCCTTGAAAATTGTATTATAGTTCTTGGAAAACATGCATAAAAAACACTCATCCTCTTGCTCATTCGGTAGAAAATTACGCATTCTTCCGATTTTATACTCGAAGGAAGAGTATAATTCGGTTTTTAAAAAGTTTCTAATTGTGAGATTTTTCAATACCTTGAAATGCTCGTTCATAAAAGCTCATGTCTCTGCACTTAGCAACGTGGCTTGTTAAGTTAACAATACGACTCAAAGCCACGGCTAACTTTTCTGAACCCCAGGTGGTCTCATCTTTATTCCTTAGAAGAATGCACAGTTTTCCGTATGCGGAAAACATACGACTGGTAGGTTGGAAACCCTGAATGCCAGTGCAAAGGCAGTTCGATTTTAAAATTATTCACGTATTGGGGAAGTTTTTGAAAACCTAGTTATACCCTTCTTTAGAGTATAAAATTGGAAGACGTAGTGTTCTACCGAATGAGCAAAAGAGTGAATATCTTCATGCAAGTTCCTCATGAATTATAATTGAATTTTTAAGGGCATTGAAAATCAATTATGAGAGCACATGCTACTTAAGTAGTCATTTTTTACAGAGCATGGTTTTTACATGCAGCCGAAAAGAAGACCGTTCGAAAGCCGGCATCCTGAGATAAATGGGTTATTGCGGAATTATGCTGCATGATGATTAGTTTTACAACCCTAGTTAATAAATCTTTTCTAGACGAAAACGCATTTCGGAAGTTCAGTGGACAATTCATGAGTTAGCCGATCTACTGTAGGTCGGTCATCTGAGGAAAATTGAGAAAATATTATAACTTGGAGATAGCGTGCACAGAGCCCAGACACTGTGAAGGATGATATTATACGAGTGTACACTGGCCGGTTGTTGGAAGGAACGGTCGGTCGCCATCACCGGCGGATCTCACAGTGTGCCGAGGCTGGTGGATGCCTTGTAGACCCCGTTCGATATAACCATAAACAGATCTTGCGGTGTACGAAATGGTAAGAGAAAACTCCTGATCCATTTTCGCCATTACATGTCCAGGCCCCTCTGAGTGATCTGAAGCCCCCTCAACAGAGGACCTGGTTTAAAAACTATATCCTACATGTCCTATGGAGACGTCCATAAATCCAGCAATAAGAACCTTCCACGTAACAACACACCCAAAGCCTGGGACTTGAACGACGCGAGATAGAATCGCTCAAGCTACTGATCCTAAGTGTAGCACTCCCAAACATCTCTAGACCTCCTTCTGAGCAGTTTATTTTCGCACAGTGCAGTCAGACAGAGTCATTTCTCCCTACTTGTGCATGGGAATTTAATAAATCGCCCAAGGGAAAACTCATACTTCTGATAAACATAAAGAAGGCTACGTCACCCCCAAGTTTACCTTGATAAAGAAGATACCTCGATGCGTGCTTGTAGAAACAAGTCTAATCAGTCAGTTGCAGTCAGTTTCACTCTCCCTGTTAAATCGACAAAGGAAAGGAGGAAAGGAGAACCATCTCAGGAAATACCAAAAAACAAGGACCCTGTTGATAAGGAATATTCAGAGTTGTTTTCGTCAGACACTAACACGTGCCGATCTCTTCCAACGCTCGATGCGTGCGCCCCCCGGCAGCATGCACTTGCGTACTTCTGTGCGTACGTTTATGTACATCCGTGATATTCGCAGGAGACGGGAGGAGTAGGAAGAGGAGGGGGACAGACTATGAGTTAAAAACGGGTATAAGATGCGAGGCGCAAGAGTGTTGGTGGCGGCCACCGGAAATGCGGGCACTTGCGCACCCACATGCATCAGCTGACATTTACGTCGTCTGACAGCATGGTGTTCACCTGTCTAGAGGCCTTTTTGACGTTTTCCGAGGACGAGGAAGCGGCACCGGCGCCGCCGCCGCCGAGGAGGGGTACCTCGTCACGGAGGAAGTCACCACCGCTGCTGCTGCCGCCGCTGATGCGTCCGGTACCGAGGTTTCCGCCGTTGCCTCCACCGGCCTCCGCCGTCGATCGACCGCCAGAAGGGAAAACCAGATGGTGGTAACTGCTGGCTGATTCGCCGCTCATTTCGGAGGGGTAGATTCCGGAGGAGGCGTAGTAGGCAGCTGCGGCGGCTGCCGTCAGATTGTTTGCGTGATGTGGTCCCCCATATTGGCCAGGCGGAGCAGACGCAGACGGATAGAGTCCCTCGTATCTGTTGACACCGTTGCCAGCACCTCCAAGGCCTGCGGCGTAAGCGTTGCCAGAATAGATGGCAGATTGATAGCCCAAGAAGTCGTGGTGTGCAGCCGCCGCCGCTGCTGCCGCGGCCACAGCTGCGTCCGACATGAAACCGCCGGCGTTACCGCTGCGCAGGTTCGGTCCCCCGGCTGTAACGGAGGTGGAGGAGGCGGAGGAAGAGGAAGAGGAAAGAAGCCCTGCCATGTGCGCCGGCGAGACGTTACTACCGGGTGGGCTGCTGCCGCCGACAGCTGCTGCGGCTGCAGCCGCGGCCGCAATGTACATGTCGCCTGGGTTTGCATGAGGGGCTAGACCTAGTCATAGATGGGAAGTGTACGACAGTCTGAGTGCGGACAAGCACATCCCGTCGAGTCGGCCAAAACCAGATAATTTTACAGAGGGCAAAAACTGCTGACACCCCTTCGAACTCATAGCGCATCACCACTGAATCCATGACTACCCTTCCGATTTGCTTATTCCAATGACATCTAAGTCTAAAAATCTCCAGCCTGTTTGTGCTTTGTCTTGATACGAGGCTCTAGCAATAAAGGATGCAAGCACTAGACTAACGACGGAACAAAGATAATGACGCCCGTTACCGTCAGGTGCCTCCACGTGTAACTATTTGGGGATTAGTGGCCCCGTTTCTCCCCAGGCATACAGCGCCCTTATTGCAAATATATAGGAGAATCGAGAACCCCCACGTCCTGTCTGCTGTTCTTGGTTCGCTATTGCGGAATATTTCGGTTGCCCCGCGCGATATCGTCGTTTTAGACTCACATTCTGAACACTTGTCTCTTCTTTGGTAGATATCGGCTCCTAGTGACCGTCCAGTTTCCGTTGTAAAGTGCAGACTCGCAGTCATGAGGTGTTCTAACGAAGCGTGGAAGGCAGTGAGGTTTTCTGCAGAATACTGTCCACCTCCAGTCCTCTGGGTGGTCCAAGTGCAACGGAAATTCAAAGACAGCGGAAGTGCTTTATTTGATGGCGCACGCAGTGCATTACGAACGTCATGATCGTCGTCACTGTTGAGGCCGGATTTCCGGTCTTAAAGTTCACTGCTCACTGCAGGCGAAACAAACGTTTGCTTGGTCTCAACTTCCCCGCATTGGAAGGTATCAGGACAAACACATACGGACCATTCATTATTCCATGGAATCGCGCGGTTGCAAGTTAGGTGATTTCCGAATAAAGTCCAGTTTATAAATCCAAAAATATGTCTAGTCCGTTTCGTTGTAACGGTGACACATATCGGGTCATAAAAAACGTCTCCTTTCTCTACGTCTTCTACGCTTGTGCACGGACAAGGACTGGAAGCCCCCTTCCACTCATCAGGAATGCGGGGGTGCGTAGCCATCATGGGACAACGGAAGCCTAAAAGAATGGGACCTACCTGTCAACCTAGCTACAACGTTCCTGACACGTCCATGGGTGGCCGATTTTACTAGGACATTAGGAGAGAACCGATGAAAAATGTGAGGCTCCTCGCGTATGACAAAGATGCAATAGCATCTGTTGTGCTTGATGCAAATCCGTTAGCTGCAAAACGGCCCCAAGCCGCGGTGCTATTTGGAACATTTCGAAGGTTTCCCGTCGGATGTAGTCCTATCTTAGCCTTCTCTACCTTCGGCGGGAACGCACGAATCAGCGCGACATGATTCAAGCAACCCCCGCTGCGGGCGAATTCTGCATTAGCGACGGCAGTCGGACGATCAATCGATTTACCGGAGGGGAGTAGTAACGGGAGTCCATCCGAGCTCTTCGTTCGTGCCGGGCCCTGATTAGCTGGCTGACGCAATCCGTTGGCGTGAGGCCAACACGTCTTGTTTGTCATAGTCCTTTGGACACTAAATGTACAGTAGGTGTGCTAACTCATGAAAAGTTAACCGAAATTCTGAAATGCGTTTTCGTTTTCGTTTCGAAAAGATTACTTAAGTAGGGTTTTAAAGTTAATCATCTTGCAGCATGATTCTATAATAATTTAGTTACTACAGGATGCCGCATTTTGAACGAACTTCTTTCCGGCCACCTGGAAAAACTACATTCTGCGAAAAATGACTACTTAAGTAGCACGAATTTGTCTCACTGCTTTTCGATGCCCTTAAATTTGTAATTATATTTCATGGAGAGCATGCACGAAAATATCCATTATTTTACTCATTCGGTAGAAAATGACGTCTTCTTCCAATTTCATACTCGAAAGAAAGGTATAAGTAGGTTTTTAAAAACTCCAATTCCCGAATAATTTCGAACCCGACCTGTCGTTGCACTTGTATTCAGGGTTTCCAAACTAC